CTGAAGCATTGCAAGAAATGTAATTTAGTATTATGCCTTTTATCACAGAATAAAACAAGATTATTTTACTTTTCGTGTCATCATACAGCTTTATCACAATAGGAAGATTTCAGGGCAAGAAAAGTTGAAGTTTAGGACTTTTTCTTTTAATTAAAGTTCAAAATGTTATGTTTTATATATGGTAAAATACTTCTGTTGTAATCCTAGAAGCTAGCATGTCCTGATACTGTAGAGACTAGCAAATCAAATGTGGAGGTGCTATCTTTAATTTTTAAGGCTTAAAAATATAAGCCACATGACCAGTTTTATAACACACATATTAATAATTGCTTAAAGCATGTAAGAAATGACCAATGTTGAGTATTGCTGCTAAAAATTCTTAAAACTGTTTAGCATAGTCATTTTAAATTCCTTCTCATTCAGTTCTGAGTGGATTGGTGATGAATTCTGTGAGTGAATTTAAGATCATCTGTCTTACCCATTGCAAATGACAATTCTCATACTTTTCTCCTTTTTTTTTTGAAGGCTACTCAGTTGCCGCCGGTCATTTTCGCAGTCTGCATACTACTGAAGTAGTTGGAGGAGCCCCTCAGCATGAACAGATTGGTAAAGTAAGAATGACATTGTTTTTATGTTTATTTCTTCCAAAAGGTTCAAGTAGATTGTATGGGACAATAAGATAGTAAAGGAAGAATGGCAAAAATTCTGAGCAGTGAGGCTAGAAATGGTGAGCAGTGTGCTGTGTTTAATGGTAAAATTGGTGAAAATGGTACGGCTTTTAGGTAAAATTGAGCAGAAGAGTTTTAAGGAAAATTATGTAAGTCAAATGAGGCTCTTTCTTGTGAGTAATTGTTTCTGAGATAGAATTATCTCAAGATGTCAGAGGTAACATTCACTGGTTAACAAGCTTGTGGCCAAAGGGACTGGTAGGAAGCTCTATTTGTGGTACAATGGCGGTAAGACTAGAAAGAATAAAATGTTATTTCTCTCTCTAGTTTTTATTGCATTGTTGTGTAAATGTTAATAAATTTGTCTGAGCCTTTCTTTGAAAATTAAGGCAAACAAATATTTTCTGTGCTCTCTTTAAGGGACCAGAAAGATTGTTCATGAGAAGGTAGTTTTACAAAGAACACGTTAATGTGAACATGATTCCTTAAATCTTTTGTATCAGTCTGAAAGGGATTTTTAAAAAATATGTATTTGAGCAATTACAAGTTATGAGAATTGATGTTTTGATCAAATGCAAAAACTTTACCATGAAGGCGTCCAAACGTTTCCTAATTTCTTCTCCTCATTGCAGGCATACATATTCAGCATCGATGCAAAGGAACTAAATATCATACATGAAATGAAAGGTAAACAGGTAATATGTCTCTCCCTTTGGTATCACGGAGGGCTTTGGTGAGTAACTCTGCTTTTTCTCAATGACTGGATGTGGTTTACCTTGGAGCAGCTTGGGTCTTACTTCGGAGCTTCTGTCTGTGCCGTGGACCTCAACGCAGATGGCTTCTCAGACCTCCTCGTGGGAGCGCCCATGCAGAGCACCATCCGGGAGGAAGGGAGAGTGTTCGTGTACATCAACTCTGGCTCGGTAAGTCCCCCTGTCTGCAGACTGGAAGCCATGTCTAGAATTGGGATGGAAAGTGATGCTCTTCTTATTCCAGAGTTCTGAGACTTAGATTTTTAGGCTTATTTTACTGATGAAAGTAAAAATACTGGTGTTATACTGATGTTCTAAAAATGAAATGGAGCCTGATGATGAATGGGTCTCTGTCTCATTGTGATATCTCAGAAGTAGAAGGTCATTTGTGTGGAGTTTCTCTGTTCATATTTTGTATATGTTCACTGCAGTAGTTGACATTTCTTCCACTTTTATTATGATCAAATCTAATTAGAAAGAATGATTTATATACAGCCCTAAAAATGCAGATTTCCTTTGGTTCAGCAGTGACTGTCGTTACATAATTTGATAATTATGAAGCATTACTAGAAGTAAAAGCTAAAGTAAGAAATGTTTTTAATTTCTTGATTTGAAAACAATTGGAAACAAAGCTGTGTTTTAATAAAATGTTAATCTGTACAATTCATATAGATTATATTCTTGATAAGAATGTAAAACTGACATTTATGCCAGTTAGATATAGTAGTTGTTGAAATAGGTGTTTACTTGCTTCTGGTTAAGTTTTAAATGATGGGGGATATTTTAGAGTGAAACTGACCACTTGACAATTCAATTTAAAGATCTCTGCTGGCCTGATCTTTTCGGTCTATCTTCTTGGCATCAAATCAAAAGAATTGATAGGGCCTTAATGAGGTGTTCTTGGCCTGTTTCTTTGATTTAAGAGCAAGAATAGATTTTTGAGAAAGTTGGTTCCTAAGTCACAGCATTTTCAATTAGGATTTAACAAAGTAAAATCTGTTTCAAGAAAGTATCTTATTTAATCAGTGGTTTCAGAGCATTTAATAGATTCTTATAATAAGCACCAGACTAAACTCTTTACAGTTTAAGAGAGAATACCCAGTTGTACAAAGCTGAGAGATTTTCAAAGTTTCAAATATAGAGCAGGAAAGTTATTTAGGCATTGGGATTTCCTAGACTGTTTAAACCTAAATTTAATACAAAAGGTGTATCACCTACAAAATGGTCATTGTATCTCATTAATAGTGAAATCAGGCATTGCTTTTTCTATGTAGATTTCACATTTCCTTGTCCATCAGTGGTCGTCCTACATCCTTATTCTGCATAATTTTCTTTGTCTTTCAGATTATTTTTTTTTTAAATTGAAGTATAGTCAGTTACAATGTGTCAGTTTCTGATGTACAGCATAATGTCTCAGTCATGAATATATATACACATATATTTGTTTTCATACTCTTTTTCATTAAAGGTTATTACAGGATATTGAATATAGCTCCCTGTGCTATACAGAAGAAATTTGTTTTCTTTCTCTTTACAACTAAACTTTTTAAGGACAGTTTTAAAAGTAGCATATATACCTAAAATAAGGCAATATAGGACTGTTTATTCCCACTGAAATCTTAAGCAATCTCAATATGAAAAACAGATGAAGGTGGAACTCCTTTGCTTTAAGAGCAAGGGAGGAGTTCTGCCCATTAGCCTACCTCCTTGTCCATCCTCACTTTGACTCTGAGATACCACTATTGAATACTGAGGTTAAATTTATCATTGATTTCAGCTTTTAAGACCTCTGGCATAAGTTATTCTTCCTTTGTTTCCTTTCAGCTTCGTTTCTTAACTCTAAAAAGACACTAACTGCTACCTAACGTTACAGTATATATTTATTGGTTTGGTTTAATGTTACATTATATATCATTTTGGTTTAATGTTACATTATATATCGGTTTGACTTGCTATTGTCTGTTCTCCTGTTGGAGTGCAGACACCATGTGGAGAAGAGTTGTCTGTCTCATTTACTGCTGTTTCCCCAGGGCTTGAAAGAGCCCTGGACAAGGAGGGGCTCAATAATTGTTTTTGAATGAACTCAAGAAAGACTGATTCTTGAGTGAATCTGGCTTCCACTCCTGCTACTAGAATAAGCTCTCAGGGGTCCCCAGCAAACCCTCGGTCGCCGTTCTGTGATTAGAGAATACTTGAAGAGGAATGATCACTTCTTGACTCTCTCCCCCCGAACTTCAGTGCCATTGCATTGTTTTTGGTCTGCACCTTCTCATCCTTGTGGGGTCCCTTCTACCTTCTGCTCTTTAAATTAGGCATTTCTCTAGGAGCAAAACAAGTAGAGGAATGTTTTGGTTGGAAAATAAAAGATGAAGGTGCATCACGTCAGGAAGGGGAAGACCACGTGTGTACTATGGGAATGATGAACAGACTTGTTTGAAGAGAGGAAAGGATCTATGATGAGTCGGGCATAGAATTGTATGGGATTTCGTTAATACAGGGGAGTGACATGATCAGAGTTGAGAAAGAGGTCTGGCTGCTGTTACTGCAACAGCTCCTATTGAAACATTATTGAATCAAATTGTAATAACTCATCTTCCAGCTTCAGAGACAGCAATTGACCAATCCATGCTCCATTGCTGCTGGAGAAAGATTCCAAAGGCCAGATTCAGTCTTGTGACTCTTCAACTCAGAAGAGGCTCTGTATTGGTTTTTTTGTTTTGTTTTTTTAACTGAAGTATAGTTGATTTACAATGTCGTGTTGGTTTCTGGTGGACAGCATGGTGATTCAGTGGCACATATATGTACTCTGTTTCATTATAGCTTATTACAAGCTATTGAATGTAGTTCCCTGTGCTATACAGTAGGATCTTGTTGTTTATGTGTTTTATATATAGTAGTTTGTATCTGCTAATCTTGTTTTCTAAATTAAGGGTACATTTCTCCCAATATTTACAGTCCTACACCATAAGACTCCAGTATGACTTTTTTGTTTCATTCATTATATAAACTGTTCATTATAGCCAGATACTTTGGGATTTGTGTTTTACTGATTATTTTCTCCATATATCAAAACTGTGCCCGTCCTTCAGTAGCCACCTTGATTACCACCTCCTTTATGAAATCCCTGCTGACTTTCACAGTTAGATACGCTCTCCTTGCTTCTTGATCCTGCAAAGCAGTCTGCACCTTGAAGTCATTTACATACTTGTGCTAAGCCTTCCCTGTAACTGGGGGCTTCTTCAGGAAATGGGGTGTCTTACACACAGTGCCTTGGCCCCTTTCATCTGTTCACTCTGCACCATGCGTTGCCTTTTCTAGGAACTCATTAAGCATTTGCTAAATTGAATTATCAAAATGATTTATTGGATTTTTAAAGCTAGAGATCGTGAGTTTGACAATTTATGTCCTCTGAGCTCTAACTGTACTATTATATGTGTTGACATACTTGATAAATATTTATTGAATTGAACTGAGATGTGTGTACTAAAACTCTGTCTGTAGTTTGTCCAACTTATTTAAAGCATTAGAAAAAAAATCCATATCCAGTTACAACAGTAAATCATGTGTAAAGTTATCATGGAGTATTATAGTGACACCTTTCTCCCTCTTTCTATCTAGGGAGCAGTAATGAATGAAATGGAAACAGAGCTCATTGGAAGTGACAAATATGCTGCAAGATTTGGGGAATCTATAGTCAGTCTTGGTGACATTGATAATGATGGCTTTGAAGGTAATTAAAAGTATCTAATTTGGTACTTGATTTCCACTTTTAAAATGGCACATGGAAGAGAATATAATTGGAGTTTTATGTTGTTTGCCCTTCTGTAGAAAATGGAGCTAGATGGGTATGGTAAGTGCTTTTTGCTTTGTTATTATATCTGATTTCTTCTCACTTGTCAGTGGTTGATTCTTACCACTGTTAATAAAGAATAATATTCAAAGTGCCTTATTTCATTGATTCTAAGGCACCATTTGATTATAAGTTGCATCATTGTTTTATGTGCCCCTAAAAAAAAATGGTGCCTCTTAAACTGTGGCTTGCTATTTTTCTATTTTAAGAAGGACTTTGATTTAAAGAATGTGGCAGTGTGGGTGGAAATGTGTATTCTCGACTCACTGGATCGTAGTATTTAACTATCAGTGCATTAAAGACACTGCCCAAACCCAGCAGCGGCGGGGCAGAGCTGGAGCAGGGGTCTGAAAGCCGCCTGCCGTGCCCGGCTTTTCGTGCTCAGCTGCTGCATTGTCGGGGAACTTGGGGTTCTGAGCAGTGGTAAGGGGGCACCTGGCAGATCTAGAGTCAGCGGTTATTTACCAACCCATATGGATGTATTTCAGTAATGGACTAGATGGGACCATCGTAACCATGACTGTTGCCCAGGTATCAGTCCTGCTGCGGAAGTACCTGTCTCTGTCAGCTTCCCTCTTAAAACTAGCTTTTTCCAATCTGGTTCTGAGCAGTAACTAGTTCTATTAAAACTGCCTAAAATGATGAATGATATCAAAGGAGAGAATATAATTCCTAGGGTTCAGCAAATGAATATTTGATATTTTCAGGGCTCAGAGTCATCTACTTGATGTGATCATTGGCAATTGATACATGGTAGAATTAGGTAAAAACTGACTTGGATGCTAGAAATAAGAGAGTCCTGTAACTTCGCACTTTCTTCATTTCTTCTTATGCCTCAATGCTTCATTCTACTATATATATGTCTCTGTATATATACATATATATCTCTTTATATAGCAATGCCTTTATTTTCTAGGATAGATTTTGTTCAGAAATTTGCTTATATTTTTTTCACATGACTTTGATACATATTTTATTTTCCTTGGGTAAGCAAAGTTTATTCTAGGAGGAACAACTCATTGAGAGATAAAACCATTTTAAAATATACATATATGTACCGTTCATTGTTTCTAAGAACAGTTTAGAGCTTTAGCTTTTTAAACTTACATAGTTATCAAAGGAATCAAGCCAACCACAAAATAAAAATCAACAGAATGCTGTAATCCATTCATAAAAGACAGTCAATGCTTCACTCTACTTTAAATCTATGAAATATGTTACTCTCCAAGGAGAAAGCTAGTTGGTAATAAATATATGCTTCCAGGGAGCCCTATTAAATGTAAGGTAATATAATTTCGTATACAAATAGTACCATTTCAGGGTTTGTTTTATCGTTTTTAAAACAAAAGGAGATTTAAAAAATAGATGTAGAAATTTTTATGGTTATGATTACACATAAAATTTTACGTTAAAATATATATAAAATGTTATGGTGGATGTTACATTTCACAAGTAATTGGCAATTCTGTGATATTTACTGAGTTATTTTTGTCAGTTGTAGCATGCCAGGTGTAGAGTATGTGCATGAATGAATGCATATAAAGGAAATAGTGGCACTCTTTTTTTAGAGTTTTACAAGTAAATGGACTACAGGATTAGAGCATGGAAAAATAAACATTATTTAACTGGAGAATATAAAGACGCTAATAAATATCTACCAGAAACCTCCTAGTTTTTTGCACCTTGATATTTCCTATATGTTATACAAAATAATGAAAATTTTTCTTTTACAAACAAAGCCATCTTTAGTAAAATACTCATTTTGTTTATTTACAATTCCTTCTATATCCTGTTTTAATTGACACATCCAAAGAAGAATATTTGGTGTTTTGAATGTACTAAAATATTTGAATGTACTAAAATACGTGCACACAAGAAATCATTTTTGTGGCATCTAAATGTCAGTGACACACCTGAGTTATTCTTATAATCAGATTGAGTTATGAAAATGTCATGGGCAGAGGCAGGCTCCCTTAGAGTCACTCCAATGCTTGGGAAGATCCAGGACAATTTTCCAGTGAAGTGAAGGACACGCAGAAGGTGTTCTGTCCATGAGACTTAGAAAGGAGAAATTTAGAGAAACCTTCAGATCACGATGGGGTATTTCAGAGTGTGTATGAGGACCTGGCTTTCACATAGCACTTTGTGTCTTGGCGTCCTCAGCACTCATCTCCTGAAGGTACTATCTTTATTTGAAGACTGTTATTCAAATGAATGTTTTCAATATTTCAGTGTACTTTTGCACTATGCATAATTTCATTTATAATTCACAACATATTTATATCCAGTGGTTACATTAATCCTGATTCACTTCAATGAAACATTTATCATATCATATGTCTTTTTCTAATTTGTTCCATTTTTCCTTTCAGTTTTATTGAGATATAATTGACATGTAACGTTGACTAAGTTGAAGGTATACAACATAATGATATGTATATATTGCAAAATGATTACCACAATAAGTTTAGTACCATCCATCACCTCACATAGTTGCAAATTTTTTTCTCTTGTGATGAGAGCTTTTAAGATCTACTCTTAGCAACTTGCAAATATGCAATATAGTGTTAACTGTAGTCACCATGCTGTACATTACATCCCCAGGACTTATTGATCGTGTAACTGGAAGTTTGTGGTTTTTGACTCCTTTCACACAGTTCCCCTACTCTCCACCCTGCCCCTACCACCATCTCTGACAATCAACAGTCTGATCTCTATTTTTACGAGTTAGGTTTTTTAATTCCATATATAAGTGAGATTACACAGTATTTGTCCTTGGCTTTCTGGCTTATCACTTAGCATAATACTCTCAAGGTCCATTCATGTTGTTGCAAGTGACAGGATTTCCTTCTTTGTTACGGCTCAGCAGCATTTCTGCTTTGCCCACGGGTCTGTGTTGTCTACATTTTAGATGTTAGCCAAGACTGTGCTGACTTGGGAGTAGGCTAAGTGTGTTCTAACTCTTCACTGAGTTCTTTAACCCACTGTACCATATCTGCCTGGGTGAGACAGCAGGGCACCAGTGTTTTATTTTTCGTTATGTGAGTCCCTGTTCTTTTCCCCCATCTTTCCAATTTTCTGAGATGTGGATGAGGTTAGTTCATATTCATGGCAGAGTGTGTGGGGTTGTATAGAAAAGAGATGAAAACCCCACCTGTTCTTTGTCCCTCCACCTTTAAGCTTAGATGCAAATCAGACTTAATGTCCTATTACCATGCACGGTTTTGTGGTGTTTTGCATAATAGACCTCAGTTATTTTGGCATTCGTGAATCAATTTTTTATTGTTCTTCAAAAGAAAAAAATTAGAATATATTTCCTGCGTCCTTAGAAAAATAAAACAAGCCATTTGCTAAGATAACCAATTAATTTGGCAGAAGTCCAGCATAAAAATTTCATCAAAAGTATGAGAAAGTTACACACTGGGTAATAGAGAGACCTGCTCAACCAGTGTGACCAGATAAGCATTTCATATTTCATCCATAAAATAGATTTGGTTTGTTTAGGTTTTTTACATTGAGCCTTATCACCTGATTTTTAGACTATGTGTTTGAATTCTTTTTTTGAGCAGAACCATAATAGAGTTCTATAGTTGTAATAAGCTATATGCTATATTATTATTTTATGTGCTCTTGAAATGCTTATATATTATCAAATCATTTATTGAACACTTCTTTCACACAAAAGAGAAACAGGTACTCGGAGGGGAGAGCACTGTCCATTACTCTATTGATAATGATTTTATAGAGCGTGGTGATGGAGTGCACAGGCTTTGGAGCTGGACTGCAGGGTTTAAATCCCCACTGTTTATTTGTTTGATAGAGCTTTTGTAAGAGTTACTTGGGTTACCGTGGGTTATGCAAGAATTACATGAATTACATATGCAAAGTACCTGCATGGTCAGCATGATAGAAGTGCTAGCTGATGTTAAGATTACTATGATTGTACTAATGATTATTGTTATGATTTATACCAGCAGAGTGAAACAAACGTTCAAATGAAAAGTAAAAACAGTTGTCAAGTTTGTTGGGGTTTATTCTCTGTGTTTTGTTCTAATTGAATTGCATAGGCACAGGAAAACATTTTGTTATTAATAATGTGTGTTCTCTTTATTTCTATAATGATAGCTAGGACTTTGGTACATTCTGTAATAGATCCACGGGTCATTCTAGGAAGGAAGAGTTTAGATCTATGTATGAAACAGCTAAAGACTGAATACACTTTAATGTTTTCTGCTTGGAATGAAATTGATCTGAGCCTTCTTAATGTTTCAGCTGAAAAGGCTCATCTGTATTGTTTCAAGATATTTGCTTAATGTAGCTCATGAGTGCTAGTAACTGATAAACAGGCATTCTTGCAGTATCAACAACTTCATAGCCTGACTTCTTAAAAAAAATTATTTTTTGTTCATTTGTTTTGATGGAGAGGAGGTAAGTAGGTTTATTTATTCACTTTAATGGAGGTTCTGGGGAATGAACCCAGGACCTCACGCATGCTAGGCATGTGCTCTACCGCTGAGTTGTACCCTCCCCGTCATAACCCGACTTGTGGTCTTTTCATACATTACCATCAAGAGTCAAGGCGCAGAATTCTAGTTATTCAAGAGCAGCCATGGTGGTTGAAGTATAAACCACTCCTGAGTCATGAAGCTGCCGCTGGTCTTGTCTTCAGTGGCTACAGGACACCTCTTCCCTCACTCCTTTCCTTTCCCTCCCTGTGTCTCCCCTTCATGCTCTTCCTCCCCACTCCCCCCCCACCCATGTTGCTGGATGTATTCAATCTGCACATAAACGGCTCCAGCTATTCCAAATTGTCAGTCTTCTCATGTGCCCTGCTGCCTCCTGCTTCCCTGCTGTTGCACAGGCTGCGTCCTCTGTCTGAACTGCCTCTTTCCTTTTCTTCACCTGCCTCTGACCTGTCAATACTTCCATCTCAGCTTGGGCATCACCTATGAGAAGCCTTCCCTGATTTTCACCACCTTCTCCTCACATGCTGCATTGTTACTTTTCCTTGCTGTCTTCCCCACTAGACCATCAGTTTCTCTTTGTGGTACTGCCCTGTAGTGCTAGCTCCTGGAAAATGTCTGGTATGCAGTAAGTGCTCAGTAGTTTCCCACTGAATGAGTAAATGATTGGGTGTATTTGTTTATGAAAATTTAAAATAGTTTGCACAAATCCAAGGAGGCTAACCTTGGTATGTCTAAGCAAAATAGGTATAAGATGGGTCTACGATTTAATTTTATATGAAAACAGAAAAGCTTTCCCATTATTAAAATTGTACAGCATTTGGCATACAGTTATGTATCAAAGATATTTTTATTCCCATTGAAATAGCAGTAAAAAATGACCACTGTAGTTGTTAAAAAGCTTTTAGATCTGATCATCAGTGATAAGTAATGAATATCATGAAAGCAAACTTTCTGTGTTTTAGGTTTCTATTAAAGAAATAAGAAAACATTGCATATAAATAAACATAAGAATATACCCAAATAAACAGACATAATATTTGGTAAAAATAATGAAATGCTCTTGCAAATGTAGAACATTATTTTTCCCCCGTGTGCCATGTATTTATAGCACTTAAGTGACCAAGTCATAGTTTCTACATTCTCTTGGTTTTCCTGTGTGAAAACATATCCTTAACGTATACCTTAATCACTTTCATTGGAACAGGGATTAATCTAGAAGTCATTTTGCAAATGAAGTAAAGCCTGGAGCTCAAAATAAAGATTCTCATGGTTATAATATTTATAGATGATAATAGCTTATGAATTGCTGCTCTAAGCCCTTTACATGAGTTATGTCCTTCTCTTACCATGAGGGTGAGCTCTCTTTGACCCTGGGCTGTAGGGGAGGGAACCGAGATGCTGAGAGGTTAGGAAGTGGGCCCAGTGCAGCTCAGCTGGGCACATGGGCAGCGCTGCAGTCAGGCCCTGGCGCTCTGGCGGTGGAACCTGTGTCCTTAGCCGTTCTCAGCCTGCCTCTCAGACCCTGACACTCCAGGCTTCTTCCATACACAGACTTGTACAGTTCTTGATGTGCATCCTGTTATGACAGTGACAGTATTTTATCATTTTTTCCTGTCCAGCGAGAAGTGTCTTTAGATAAGAGGTTTTCTTCTTTTATTGTGGGAGTATTAACAATTTTTGTTGTTTTTTTATGTTTTAAACATTTTTTAATTGAAATAACAGTTGGTTTACGATGTTGTGTTAGTTTCTGGTATACAACATGGTGATTTAGATACAGGCCACTACCAACCACTGAATGTAGTTCCCTGTGCTATACAGTAGTGCCTTGTTGTTTATCTATTCTGTATGTAGTGGTTTGTGTCAGCTAATCCCAAACTCCCAGTTTATCCCTCCCCACTGCTTTTCCTCCCTGGTAACCATAAGTTTGTTTTCTATGTCTGTGAGTTGATAAGGAGTTTTCTTATGTGATACAAATTAAGGAGCATGAATGTTAGCTTTGAGGGCTGCATTCTTTGTGTTAAGAATGTCTTTTTGCCATTTACATTCTTGCGTAGATGTTGCTGTAGGAGCCCCCCAGGAAGATGACTTGCGAGGCGCTATTTATATTTACAATGGCCGAGCAGAAGGGATCGCACCAGCCTTCTCACAGGTAGGGTCCTGTTCTAATTTCAAAAGAAGCATTGGTAATAAAATCTTTCTTAAAACTTCCAGGATTAATGTGGACTTATTTTTCTTAATTTTCTCTTTCAAATACTTAATACTGTTTCACCATTTCTTTATAATAACAATAGATGGTCTCATTTTTAAGGTCATTAATAACTCTTTGAAACCTTTTTTTTTTCATAAATAAGAATTCTGGTTCACTTCCATTCGAGTTTGTCTTTAACCTATTGAGGATTTCTCTCTGCATTTCATCAGTTTTATATTCTGAGGTTTTATGTATCCAGGCTATTCCAAATAAGCCCGTTTGGATTTGATTAACTGTCTTGCCTATGGCTGAAGCCCCGTGGTTTATGGAGATTTCCCAGGGAGAGCTTGAGCTCCTGTGATGCTCTGTGTTCCTTTCAGCACCAGACAGTAAGAGAGGAGCACTTTAATAAAGTTCCCCCATCTAACTCTGACTTGACTTTCATATTTTGAAAAAAATCAGGGCATTTCAGTGTGTAGGAAAAAACCCATATACACATGCAGAGAAGTTTTTCCAAAGATAGTCTTATGGAAACATTAGCTAATACTGTTATTTTTGATGAGGCAAAAATAGGCAAATGGTTCTCTGCATAACATGAAAGATACGCACTTACCTAGTAAAGAATACTGATTCTCTTAGAGTGGGTAACACCCGAGACTTGTAAATCGGGATCTGGACATGAAGCTAGGCACGTGGAACAGGAAGCAAGTATCTGCCTTCAGTTGCCCTTGTCAGATGCCAGGAAGCAGCCTGGCTAAAAAAGGTGGTTTTCATCATAAACCTGAGCCGTAGGCACTGCTGAGTGGTTGTTTGGTCATTCATGTTACTCAGGGAAGTAAACTCAGTGCCTGAAAAAAGACTGGGGAGAGAGTGTCAGGACTATTCTGGGAGATCTGTACTACGTCATTTTCCCTTTGCTTATTACAAAGTAAAGAAAGCACATTTTTTTCTTGTCACAAAATAGATGTCACCCTCCCACTTCAAGCTGGAAATGGCTCCTTCTCTTAGACGTGTGGGTTTGACTTAACGACAGTGCAGTGGTTGGTCATGTGCCAGGGCTCATTATTTAACTGACTGACTGCTTCTTTGGGATATTAGCTGTTCAAACCTTGCTTCCCACTCAACTTGGCTATTTTTCAGAGAATTGAAGGACTTCAGATCAGCAAATCACTAAGTATGTTTGGACAGTCTATATCTGGACAAATTGATGCAGATAATAATGGATATGTTGGTGAGTATAAGATTTACTGTATTTTATAAATTGAAGTAAGCTCTACTGTGGATGCTGCTTTATTGTGAAGTACCTGAATCTGGCATAGAGAAGTTCTAATTTACTAATGAGTTTTTTTTTCCCCTTCACTTTTAAAGCTCTTTTGAATTCAAGGATGGATCAGTCATAATCAAGCAATTCCTGAGCTTTATATTTTTTGTTACTGAACATTTTATTCCTTGTTCTTGAAAAAAATTAAAAGCATTCATAAAAATAAATCAAACATACAGTGATGAAAAGAAAGATTTTTTTTTGTACTTTGAAAGGAGATTTCTGGGTGAATGTTTATAGTCCAAAAATTGAATTTTGTTTTAGTAAGGCTATCTTTACAAGTTTATATCATGATGTTTATTTTCTTATTATATTATAAAGGGGTGGATGTCATTGTAAATGAGCAGATTCAGACAAATGTGAAATGAATCTTAAGATGTAAACGTATCTTTTCTAATTAATTTTCTGTAAATAGTGTTTTGATATAGTCAAAAGGTGATATGTAGTTAAGAATTTATGGCTGAAAGTAATTCTCTTTGACTAATGATAATCATTAATCTGTTTTTTTTTTTTATCCTCCAGATATAGCAGTTGGTGCTTTTCGGTCTGATTCTGCTGTGTTGCTAAGGTAAAGTTGATACATTTCACTGCTTAATGACAATTGGGCCTAATTGTAAATGATGGGAGGCTGTTTTTAAAGTCAGCAGGGGTGGTGACCTCATAACACTCTTTTTGGTACTCTGAAATTTAATTATTGAACTTTAGGATACTTGCCTCACCTTACATAGATATATACTTAAATCATCAAAGTCAATATTTTCAGAAATTTAAGTGAAAATTTCTTTTGATTCATACTGGACATATAATTGAATATATATACACATACTGTTAATAAAGCAGTTTCATGAAATTACTTGATCAGTGGAAACTGACAAAACAGATATAATTGTTGTCTTAGGGAAAAATAATTCTGCTTTAATATGGATAATTTTATTTCCTTTTTAGGACGAGACCTGTAGTGATTGTTGAAGCTTCTTTAAACCATCCTGAGTCAGTAAATAGAACAAATTTTGACTGTATTGAAAACGGAATGCCTTCTGTGTGCATGGATCTAACACTCTGTTTCTCATATAAGGGCAAAGAGCTTCCTGATTATATCGGTAAGGGTGCCCTTGGAGAATTAATGCCTGACAGAATGTGCACCTCACTCATAAATCTCATGGTCGTATTTCAAGCCCTCGCTCTATGTCACCATGGAGGTTTTTAAGTCAGGAGAGAGCAGCCACCTGAAAACCTTGCTGCTTCATCTTCTAGATTCTCAGCTTATTCTAACCAAGGAGGGGGTCACATCAGGGCTGTCATTTAGACGTTAGGGCAAGAAGCAAAGCAAGAGTATCACTTGCTGTATTATTTATGGTGAAGTAACTGAACTTAATCTGTAAGATCTCTTTAGAAGAGAAAGAACATCACAGCTCCTCCTCTGTTCTGTTGGGCTCTGTTCAGCCTTGACCTGGCTTAAGTTGGAAGTCCTGAAAGGAGGAAAGTCCTTTTCTTCATATTCCATGCTGTTTCAGTCACTGAAGAAGCTTATCTAGAGTCTAGACCCTGGCTGTAATTCCCATAAAGAACACACGTATCTTACGGATTTACTGTGACTCTCAGCTCCTAAGAGTCATGCCCATTTCCCTCTACATAAGCAGCTCGATTATCTGCTCTGGAGAAGGTAGCATTGATACAGGTCTTCAACATTGCAGTTAATCTCCAGTCACATATGTGTGACTTTAGAAGCATTATATTTTTTTCTAGCAGGTTAATGTCCCCAATTATGTTATATTTAAGCTAATATTAGAATAACTGCTAATGAAACTAGCCCCTAGTAGGAGAGAAGCATACCTGAGTTTACCATTTGAACTTTAATAATTCATAAATTTTACAAGCCTCACAAGACCTATAAAGAGTGTTTGTACCCATGACCCTGCAGGCTGTCATCCAGTCATCATGAAGGGTACCAAATACTTACTGATCCAAACTGTGGATATGTGACAGAGGCCTCAGTCTGAATTAGCCTGTAATAAGTACAGAATAAGCCTGGTGTCTCTGCTTTAGATCAGACCCATTTTTAGTGGCGTTCTGCAAAAGTCCTGATGAAAGATGCAGTGATAGGACAGTGGGCAAAACCTGCATCCAGTTATCAATTGGAGAAGTGGCAGCTTGAGAGAGTGACCCTAGTAACACAGTAACACAGATGAATGAATGGATTAGCTGGAAGATACACGTTAAAGAGATAGGACTATTTCCCTTTATGGAAAATCAGTGCTTGTACCACCAATTCCATCGTGACCAAATATTTCTTTAAATGGTTGAAAACAAATATACGAGAATCAAATAATCATAGAATTGTTAGACAAACATGCTTTATAGTTGTCATAAAAGGACTCCTTGGGAGAAATAACAATTCACATGGTAAGCATATTTAATAAAACCAGGGTATTTTGCCTCTTACTGCAAGCAGATTTTTATTTACCCTTCTTTGGTTTATTCTTTGTCTGAACTCAGGGTGATGAATTTGTAGATGACTGTTTCCACTGCAACTCTGTCTCTGAGGCACTGAATCTCAGTTATTGTAATTTTGAAGCCAATTGATATGGGGCTTTATTTTCTAAATAAAAGGAAAGTTGAAAGATTTATTTGCAGTTTGTAGGAGTGATGTAGGTTTTATTCAAATCCTTCCAAGGAAGAATAAGTTACTCCTAAGATGTAAATGACAACTTGAGAAATTATGTGAATTATTTTAAATATCACCTATGAATTACCGCTCCTATATAATGAATGACACCTCAGCAGACTTTTAGATGTATCTTGTTTTGCAAAGAATCCTTTTATTTTTCAATTTTTTTGAGAGATGATTGACATACAGCATATTAGTTTCAGGTGTACAACATGATTTGATTATTTGTGTATATTGTGAAATAATCACCAGAATAAATCTAGTTAACATCTGTCACCATACATAGTTGTAAAAGGTTTTTCTTGTGGTAAGAACTTTTTTCTCATAGTACAATTTCTTCTAGTAGCTTGAAAATACTCAATACAGTATAATTAACTATAGTCACCATGCTGTACATCCGATGACTTACTTATTTTATTCCTGGCACTTTGTATATTTTGGTCTCCTTCGCCCACTCCTACCTCTGGCTCTGACAGTCACCACTCTGATAATCAAAGAACCCTTTTGGATTCAAGAAGTAGCTTTTTCTTTCTTGGTAAGATCTGGCTTGGAATTTTTTGGTTGTTGTAAATTTTCCTTAATTTTTTGCTTATTGAAGATCTTCTTTAGCAGGTGATTATTTACTCTGTCAGATTTGAAGTAAGTTCTTACCAAACTGCCAGAATATTTATTGAGGGAGTGCCTATCTATATTTGTTTGTTTTTGCCTGAAACAACATTACAACATCAAACCAGAAACCAATAAACACAAGAAGAAACCATTAGGGTCTAGGGCTGGAAAGGAGGTGACTGTCAGTCAACTCTTTCTGTAGGTTTGCCTTTTAAGCCATGTGTTTGCTCTACATTAAAGAAAAAATCAAAAGAAAAATAGCATCCCCTCAAATTAGAAACAAATGGAAATAAATGAAACTAACAGTATATGAAATTAATTCTGTAACCATACAAGATAGAATTATTCAGATGACATTTGAGTGCGTACTCTGCCTGTAATTCCTCAGTCAGATGCGCTAAGGACAAAAAGGCTCAAGGAAATCTGAAACTTGACTCAGAACTTTCGTTAATAGTAACAGTTTTGTATTTTAATTTTGAAATATTTCTATATATTTATTATATAAATAATTAAGGCTGTTAATTTAAAAAATAGAAACCTGAAGAAAATTCATAATTTTTTTAATTTATAAAAATAATTTTTGAAATTTATATTTAAAACATATTTAATATAAGTTGAGTGTATTTTATATAATTATAAATATATTTTAATCTAATTACATATATAAAATTCAATTTATATTTATAAATTCAACTTAAAGTTTCCCTCTTTCATATTTCAGGTTAGTTTTTAGAGAGCTAATTCCTGAAGAGCATTTAATCTATTTCCAGCATTCCAAATGACTTTGACTACTAGCACTGCAAAAATAATAAAATAAATGCCTTTAGATGATTATATTAATTGCAGTTCTCTCTACATTTTTGCAGTTCTGTTTTATAACATGAGTCTGGATGTGAACCGAAAGGCAGAGACTCCATCAAGATTTTACTTTTCTTCCAATGGAACTTCTGATGTCATTACAAGCAGCATAAAAATAACAAGCAGAATGGCAAACTGTAGAACACATCAAGCATTCATGCGGGTAATGTAAATTCATTTCTATTAACAAATATGTGAACTTTGATATTGTCAGTACACTTAAAAACATATTGCATTGATATCTTTCTATAAAACATAGTTAAAAGGAAGTGTTATCCTGTCCTGAACTAGCTGACCTATTCTGGAGACACAATGTGAGACAGTCCTGTGACCTGGATAATTCAAACTCTGCTTTTTGCTCCTTCTTTATTTCACATTTACCGTGTTTTACTGCACCCCTCTTTTTAGAGGTTTGCCTTTTCCTTTCCACAACTGCTATCCCATCCCTGTTTATATGCTGGCCTAGAAATGTACCTATCCCGTAGCTCTGCTGAGCCCCAGATCTGTTTCTGGTAGACTCTGGTGGAGGGCCGGGGGGGGGGTGGCGAGGCAGGGAAGTTGCTTTGTTTTTCATGTGACTTTAAGAAGCAGAATCCAACATGACTGCTTTTGGATTGTGTCTTTGTCTCCGTGCCAGCATTGTCAGTGATGTCAGTGGGAACTTGCCCAGTTTTAACACAGGGGTTCATCTGTGGGCCAGGACGATGGCTCTCGTGATGGTTTGGGGTATATCCTGCCAAAGCACAGTCAGTTTCACGTTTCTTTTATTAAAACACTCATTCCCAAACTGATCATCACGTTCCTTGCATTGGTCACATTTTATCATCTGAAGCAGTGCCAGGTCTTTCTCATTAGGGAATGGTGTACTTCATCAGAAAATCTATTGTCACAGAAAAGCCAAACTCTTCCCAGGAGCCCTTTCTGGGATTTCAAATAGCAGCCTCAGCTTAGACCTTAATTTTCCCTTAGATACTTATTGCAAGCAAATGCAAACAAGCATCAGGGCTATTAAATGCTAAGAGCAATAATCCCTATGCTGTTTCCTCATTTCCCTTAGCAGTTTTTATTGTTGTGCTAGAGTAAAGCTATTAGATGGTTGAGAGCCAAAGTATAGAATGATATTAGTGTAACCATCTTTGATATGGCAGGGATTAAAGAGCTTTTTTTTTTTAAGTCTACATACTTGATTTTACTTAGATTAATCAATTTTAGAGACTAACATTAAAGCCATTTTAAAGGCAATAAAAGGACCAATATTAGACATTCACAAAGAAACACGTTTTGTTGAATTTGTTTAAATGGCAGCAAATTGGTCTGATTTATTTAGTCCTGTTTCTTGGCATTGTTCCTATGATTAAGGGTTCATCAAAATTGTACACTTGCATCAGAATGAATTTGTACTAGGAGTGACATTTTAGCAGAGGTTTCTGCATTAGTTGCACGTGTACGTGTTGCGTTACCATGGTAGTGACGACAGCAGGTTACAGCCATGACTTTGGGCCGTATAGTCACTGTCTTACACAAGCACTTAGCTCTGGGATTGGTACATAGTAGGGACTTTGGGAAAAAGTGATTGTTTCTTCCAATATATATTTTTTCCTTCCTAAATTACCTTGCTTTGGTTGGGAACATTTTTAAATCACAAATAGTAAGGCAAAAGGCAACGTCTGCCCCTGCAGCAAACCCAAGGTGAGTGTAAGAACCACGGAAGCAGCTACCGAGCCTTGAGTTCTGTCAGGGACCTCTGTTACTCAGGAGGATATGAAAATGTAATGAGTGCATTTTCCACCCCCACCAGCATGGTACCCGAGGCATTCAGAAACAAAATTGAGCTGGATTGTTCCTTTGTTTTGTAAAATGTGTGCAATGTCGGGAGTGTTAATATGCGTGTGTATTCTGTCTCAGCACCCCTTACACTGAAATAAGGTGACCCTTGTTAGTTAAGTGCTCAGGCCCACAGCCCCCACCTCTCGGAGGATCGCCTGCCTGCTGGCTGGGCGTGCTTTCTTTGTATAGTTCCTATTGTCCCTACCAACTAGGCTCCACTTCTCCATCCACTCAAGTAGTGTCATAGATATTGAATATCTTCATTGTGTCAGGTTCCATTTAAGACATTTGTATAGATCAGCGACTGAGGCATAAAGAGATTACCACCCTCCTAGAGCTTATAGTCTAGTGTGGTGAGAGTAAAAATAATGTAACAAAATGTACATTTTATGTTATCTTAGAAGAAGATATGGGTGATAGAAAAAGGAAAGGAAGGCAGAGTACAGGAAATTATGGAGCACTGGGGAAGGAATGAAGAGCACAATTTTAAGTAGGGTGGTCAGAGTAGGCCTCATTCAGAAGGTGACATCTGAGCAAAGACTTGAAGGAAGTGAAGAAGTTAACTATGTGGATATCGGGGGCAACGGTTCTCAACTTCAGCAAGCAGCAGCATCACCTCTAGGGCGTGTTTAAAGCACAGATGGCTCAGCCCCGCCTGGAGTTCTTCATTCAGTAGGTCTCCAGTGTGACTAGAGAATTTGCATTTTTGTAAAGTTCCCAGATGATGCTGATGCCATGGGCTTGGGAGATGTACTTCGAGAACCCCTGGTGCAGGAGAGGGGTTTGGCACATTGGTGTTTCAAAAGCCTTATGAGATGGCTGAGCTCACCACAAGAGGAGAAAAGAGCCGAGGTCTGTGCTCTTGGCACCACACCATGAAGAGACTGGAGAGAAGAGAAGAGAAGGCTTACAGAGGAGGTGAGAAGGACTAATCAGTAAGGAGGAAAGCTGAGAGCTTGTGGCATTCTGGAAGTGAAGTGAATAAAGCAGGGCAAGGAGAAGGGCATGGCAGTGTTTCAGTGCTGCTGCTTGGTCAAACACAGTGAGGGCTGAGAACTGACCAGTGGGTTTAGCAATATGGAAGCTGCTAGTGATTGTGACAACAGCATTTTGGAGTAATAGCAGTGGGAAGAGGAATTGGAGACAGAGTGTAGGTCATTCTTTCACAAATTTTTACTCCGAAGAGGGCCAAAGAAAAGGGGTTGGCTGTCAGTAGTTGATAAGAGAAGTGGAGTGATCGTTTTTTTTAAGGTAGGAGGAATAGCATGTTTTTGTACTGATGGCTGTGCTCCAATAGAGTGAAACATTTATGAAATAGATGAGAGGAAAGAATAGTTAGAACAGAGTTTTTGAGGAGGCAAGGGGGTGGGATTAATCAGACAAATGGAAGGGTTGATTCTAGATAGGCACATGGGTGGCTCATTTGTTTGTGTGTTTGCAGATACTGGGCAGACGTGGTCAGGAGGACTGGAAGTTCTCTTCTGATCGCTTTAATATTCTCAGTGAAGTAAGACACAGCATGATTACCTTCAGTGGGAGTGGGAGACATGATGTTTGGAGTTTAGGAAGGAGATGTGAAATAGTCTTCTGGGAGAGCGAGAGAGTAAGGAAGTGCAGTCTGGCTGGAGAAGCATTAGGCTCTAACTTGCTTTGTGAAGTGAGAGGAGTCCGAATGGCTGTGGTGTTTTCCGGTCACACTCAACCTTACAGGTGGGAGTGGTTGAAGTTACCGCCCACCAGGGCTGTGGTTTGCCAAGGGAATGAAGCAAAGGAGGAGCAAGAGAGCTGAGGAGTGTGCAAGGGAAAGGTTATGTTGCTCGCCATTAAGACTGAGCGGAGTAAGGAGAGGAGAGAGGACATCAAGACGGAGGGTGAGGGACAGGTGACGGTTGAATTGGAGGTTCCAGAGGGATCAACAAATTGTTGGAATTGAGTATTAAAGAGAATGAGCCAGAAAGATCTCATCAATATTATATCAAGTAAAAGCCGTTGAGGACCCGAAGGTCAAGAAAAAACTGAATTTTGTTTTTATTTTCGCTCGTAATCCCTTAATGACCTCACATAAATGCAAGTCTTTCAACCTACTTATATTTTAAAAACCTATCACATTCTTTGATGGTAGAGAATTTGGCTATTGAAAAAAAATCCAAGTCTTATCGTAGAACTGGAGCGTCTATTAAGTCTTTCTCTTTTAATCACACATTCTCTAGTTTCATGTATTGGATCTTCTTGGAATAGAGGAGACATTTTTAACAATCTAGTAAGTATCATGTCACTAGGATATACATTTGCTAGTATGTTATTTTTTCTGAGACTATATGGTCATTTATCTGGTTGATAAGCACATCAGTTTTTGCAAGTTTACTTAATTTACTCATAGTTAAAATAGGTCTCACACAAGATTGTTTTATGTGAATGGTCAAAATTTGTTCCTTAGAAAGTAGGAAGGGAGAAATTATTTTTTCCTTATAAAACTCCATTTTTCAGTTGTTTATAATTATGCCAAGAAGCTTCAATTTTTGCTATTAGAGCCATAAAATTGTTAGATATTATGAAAGAAGAATCTAGAATTTAGAGGTGGGAGTTCATAAAAGGTTTTGATGATATAAGGGAGAGGGTTAATTTTTTCGTGCTTTGTAGTGTTTTATCTACTGAAATTCCATTCTATTAGACATCACTTTTCCTTTTATGAAAATGTCTCCCATCCATGTAAGCATATTAAAATAAATCTTTGTCTTTATTATCTTCAGGTGTATGGTTTGATTAGATCTTAGAGATTTCTTAGGACACAATTTTAGGACAGGGGATAATATTGAGGCTCTTTTGATTTAGAGAAACCCAATCAATAATTGGCAGCAGTTTTAAGAAGTGTTGGAGCAGCCACGGTAGTGAGACTTCCCTTAAGGATTTGAGAGAAGGTATTTCTTGATTGATCTGGATGGAGGCTCTGCATCAAAATACTCACTCATGTTTGAGAAGAGAACAGGGATGCTACATTGGGATAATAAATGAAGTAACAGGATTGCCTTCCTGTCCATAGCATTTCCAATAAAAGCTAGACATACCTAGCTTAGTTATCAGACCAGGAATGCCTGTCCCTGTTGGTATCTTGAGATCCAGTGAGTTCAGTGGCCTTAGCATGTTGTATAAAATCATGAAATCAACCTGCCTGTATTTAGTAGATTGGTTTATTCTTTCTTTCCCTTGATTTCTCTAATTTATGGATTTTGGATTTCTGAAAAAAAGAAATTTTATTTTGTCACTTCTAAAACCCATCTTTTTAGTAATAACTTCAAAAATTATTGTGCATTTGATTAGTAAATACATCTATTTATATTCTGTTTGCTTATATTTTAAGCTATTTAAGCATGTAGTTTAATGAAGTGCCATTTACTCCAAAGCAGTTATATTTCAACCACAGCACACTATGGGCTGAGCCATGAATGCGTACATTTCTGCTGAAAATCTAAGTACAAACAAACTGTATAACTGTACTGCTGTTGTGGTATCCTAGAAATAGATGGATTATTCCAACATATGTTAATTCTTTGTTGGAATGGCAAGGTCCTTGAAGACAGGATATTACCTTTTCAATGTTTGTATTCTTAGAGCTAACACAACTCATTATATAGGGCCCCCAGTCAATCAGTATTTAATAAATTTATAGACGATGTCATCTCAGTGCCACTTTAAAGAATTCTGTGAGGGAAAATCAGAGAATATTCTATTGGCATAATAGTTAGGGCACCTGTTTTTGAGGTGTTGTCTTTTCTCAGAAGTTATAGTGCCAGATGTTGGACAGCGCACCTCTGAACCAAGCTTACTAGATAAAAGCGTTACAATTACACGTGGCCTTGCTGGCTTGGATTCCAGTCTGTGCCTGAGTTTTTCCTTTCTCCTGCCCTAACCCAATCTCCACAGCGACACCAGAGGGGCATTTCCAAAACCCAAATCTCATCATATTCCTTGCTTAAAATTCTTCTACGTAAGAACCTTCCCATCCCCTTTCAAGTGTAGATGAGGTGTCCCCCTCTTCTGTACTTGTGTATGTGCGTATCAGAATCCTCACCCCCCAACCAGATGTGTGGATTTATGGGTTATAGACTCTGACGGAGGCACTGACTTCCAGCTTTGTATCCCCACATCCTGCCTTCTACAGAGAGACCCATGAATAGGTATCTTCAAATGTTTCTTTATACCTCAACATCATTTTTCACTCAGTAATATATTATAAATATTTCTGGCTCCATCGTTGAAATAAATCCCTTCACTGCATAGATACAGGAGGAGGACTGGGCCTGCCGCTCAGTTCTGAAGCTGGCCACAATACAGATTTCTCTGAAAGTCAAACAAGAAGGCAGGCTTTGTTATTTCAGGCTTGTGCTAATTTGCATGCTTGTGGGTGCCCTGTTTCATGTAATCGTCCATTAAAATGTGGCATGGAATCTTCATTATTTTTCATATAGAGAGCCCATGCCCATCCAAATCAAAAATCTTAAGCAAATCTACCTTTTCCCTTCTAAATATTAGTCACTTCAAGACAGTTTTGACATCATAGCTTTTGTCCTTAGGTGGAGCTGTTAAAGTTAAATAAGTGCGAATGTCTGTCAAATTCAGTTTTTGCAAGAGTGCACGTACATTTTATACATTGTGAGAAAAGCGTAATTAATAGCTAATTAGGATAATGAAAGTAATATACACCAGATGTAGAGAAGACCTTGTGGAAAATTAGTTTGAATTAGATAACATGTGATTTGGTCAAAGCAAGCTTGTTGAGAAGAATTAAAACAGTGGACATGTGGAGGGACAATCAGTAGCTGTCTAGCTCCTACACCTAGGGAATAATTTAATCAAATTTGCTATTGTAATACTCAGGGCTTCAAGCTGTTCCGTTTTCACAAGTTGATAACTTGGGATTTGGGCCCTGATTTGCAGCATTCCTATATGGTCAAGGTTTCAGGTTGAGATGATCACTTATCAAGTAATCTAATAAAAACATCTCCATGTGTGAGGATGGAAAAGCCATGAGAGATCTTGAATACTCTGACTCATGCTCCCCATCTTCCAGGTACCACTTAATTAATACAAGTCTAACACTTGTATTAGCAGAAAATGGAGCTCACTTTCTGTTTAGTCTCCATTGGTTGGCAATAATCTAATTTTCCTTTGTTTTACTCCTTCCAGATAGTCACCAGAACTTATAAGAAACTGAAATTCTGTAATTCCTTGGTTGGCTTATATAGCTACATTTTGAAATACTATACACATAGCAATTATAATATTTAACATCTAAAGACCATAACACTTACCAGGCATTGTGCTAACCATTTTACATACATTATGCCATTAATTCCTCATAATAATAAGATGTAGATGTCATCATCATCATCTTTACTATTATTACCATTTTCAGATGAGATAATTGGTCCATAGACAGAGTAAGTAATTTCCCAAAGGTTACCCAGATAACAGGTGATGGACCTGACATTTGAACTCCAGTACTTTGCCTTCAGACCACTTGCTTTTAATCATTATACATGTACATTAATAATGTTGTAAATGATGGGAAGAAAAAATTACATCCTTTTTTAAAATAATTACATAAAGAGACAGAATAGGTGTAGTCTTTTATGTGGTATGTCATCTTTATTAACTTACTTCTTTAATTTTCATCAGAAGTTACTATGGATGTAAGTAGCATAGCAGTAATCTGTGTGATCGGCATTTTTTTCTTCTATTCATTAGTGATTATTAATTTATGAGCTTGGGAAATCTGCTTTTAGGCAGAAATGTTTAGGCCATATTCCAATTCTGAAATGTCTAAGAGAAATAGAAACCCAAAGACATTATTCACCAAGAAGTCTGTCAATTACAATGTCATGGATCTACTCAGGAATTTGCCAAGCATAAATATAAACCTCATAAATATAAAACTCAATTATGGTTAAAATTAATATGTCTAGTCCCAATGAAAACCCTTGAGTTTCTTTCTTTAGTGGTCAAGAGGCACTTTGCTAAATCTGTTTTTTAAGACGAGAAGAACTGTAGATTGAAATGGGCATATGAAGTCGATTCAAACCAAGCTTTACATTTAAATTGTTAGTATGGAAGACAAAGTGCGTGACCGATTCTTCAAATATCTTCTCAGTGTAGTAACAATTCTAATACCGAGAAAAAGAAAAACTGCATAGTTCCTGTGTAGGTGGACTGTATCTGCTGACTGAGAAGTGCCCTCTCAAATCCTGAGATTATTTCTACTTTTAAGTGCTTTTGTGCTTAAGATACTTGTTTTATAGATTTGCCATCAACATGTCATGCAATTTAAATTGTCAACTGAATTCTGTTATAAATCCTCATGGATTACTTTATAGTAAAATCTTATTTGCTGCCCTCTTAGATAAGGAGAAAAATGAGTCTGTTTTGTTCAGTATACTTTGAAAATCTCCTTCCTGTCTAGTCAGGGTTAGGAGAAGTGCTTTTTAAGAGATGTTATGTTTTTTGTCTTACCTTACTTCCATACTTTTTTACAGAGACTTGGGATTCTGGAAACCTTTATTTAGTGTAATGCTTCTTCAACTGAATGGCAAACTCTCTCAAAGTTACTTTTTTGTCAGTTGTTTTACTGTTTGAACATATGTGTCTTAGAAAATAATTATAATAGTAACATAGTATATTCCCTTTTAATGAGATGCTGTTGAATAATCAAATGAAATGGTGAAATAAATTTTAAGTTCATGGGAAAATGTTTTTAAAAGAGAAGTTATGCCTGCATGTAGAAATAAAGATGAAAATATATGACTTGACAATCAGTGTAATAAACTCAAGGATTGTTTCTTTTGGGGCAGAGGACAATAAATTTTAGAAATCTCATCACTCAAAGACTTTTTGATTACATATAAATAGGATTAAGATTGATAAATGCTGGGTAAAAATTAATAAGATATTAAACTTAAAAGAATGTCACACAGAGCAGAATGGAATCCAGATAGGTTATAATTCTGTGTAATTGATAAATAAATCCAAGAATTCTTTGTAAAGTGTAAAAGCACAATAAACATAGAAAAACTGTAAGAACTATAAGAAAATTCAGTAAAAATTCAGTAGGATAAAAGATTAAGCATACAAAACAAATAATTTTCTTATATGCGATTCATAACCTGTTAGAAAATATAACTGTGAAAGGTCCATAATGAAAAGCAAAAAAAAGATATGTTTCATAATAAACATGAAACGAATCAAATCAAATCAAAATGTTACTGAGAAATATAAAAAGAGAACTTGAATAAATTGAGAGAGCTGTCGGATTTCTGCAAGTACTACAGGGAAATGTTAAATAGGATAAAATGATTAGCACTTCGAAATGACTTACAAAGTTATAACGGAAAACACTTATGTTAGAATGTCAAGTTATGAAGAGTATGCATAGAAAATAACAACAGAAAATATGCCCAAATGTAGACTTTTATAACTATTATTGGATGGTTATAGTTTTTCATTTTTAATACATTTTTTGTTTTTTTCTAATGAACATGAATACTTTTGTATTCTGCAAAAATATACAGTTCAATTTTTTAACAATTTGGATTAAAAGGTAAGGGTTTTCTTTGACTTCCATATGTTGTGTTTGGCCTTATGTAGGAAAGGAGCGGATTTATATATATGTATTTTATTTACATGCTTTTTTTGGTTATTAATTCATACGGTTTTAAATTTCCTTAGAAAGACGTGCGGGACATCCTCACCCCAATTCAGATTGAAGCTGCTTACCACCTGGGGCATCATGTTCTCAGTAAACAAAGTACAGAGGAATTCCCACCACTTCAGCCAATTCTTCAGCAGAAGAAAGAAAAGGACATGATTGAAAAAACAGTAGGAATATTTTACTTTATTTGAAAAATTATGTGACATATAACTAAAGAATTTTTTTAAAAAATATTGCATAGTTCTGGGGAAATGAACTCTCTGAATCCTTTTAAATTTTTATGAATTTGTTTTAAAAGAAGATTTATATGTCTTGTTTTCCATTTTTCTTTGTTTTTTATATTCTCTGAGGGATATTGAGCTGAATGCTTTTAAATATGCATTTAGTCATAGCAGTGTTTTCCCATATACATAAAATGTTAATTTTCTCTCCTCCATGCCTCGCCAGTGAAGAAAATACATTTCTAGAGAGCTTTCATAATGGAAGTGAGTTGCATTCATGAGTTAGTTATTCGCTGTCACCATGTGTGTGCAGCTTATTTTTCTTTCTCATTTTCTGTCTCTTTCTCATTTTGTCTCCCTCTCACTCACCCTACCCACAGATATACTCATGTCCTGTTAGTCAGATTTTACTCATTTATAAGCATGTGTATTTATGTTACACAACAATTTCTTTTTAAACTTAGCTGTATGCTATTCAGCCACATCCCAGGATCCAGTTGGATTTTGAGACAGATCCTGCATTCTAACCAGTGAACTGCTTTTTAAAATTTATCCCCAAATGTGTCAGTTTCACTGATGGTGTGTTTATTTCTGGGAGTCCAGTTGTTCAGACTTTCACTGTCCAGCAACACAAAGACAGCCAACAGGATGTTTGGGGGCATGGTAAAAGCATTCATTAAACCATTCACTAATGGCACACAGACTGCAAAAGATGAAAGGGACATTTCAAGGTCTACTTCATATCCTGTCCAGACAAAATTGCCCAAGTCGCTTTAAGATATTTGAGCTTACAATCACCGCTGTCTGGTCTATGGTACTAGATCAAATGAAGATAATAACTTAAGAACAAATACCCTCTGTACCCTTGTGTGAAAGTACTAATGGAAGTCGGGTTTTTTTACTCTTCTGTTGAACTTCAGTTTTCAGCGTCAACTACTTTTAAGTGTCTTCACTAATGAACGTCTCAGTATTTTAAGCACACAGGTCAAAACCTCAGCAATTTGAGTTATATGAGAATAATCTACATTTTGACTCATCGAATAACCTACTTTACAAATAAGAATAGTAGGAAGAGCTGTGTCCTTAATCCGCTAGAGAATGACCTGCACGTTCCCTGTGCTCGCCCCAGGTGTGGACGGTCTCTGGTCTGATGTGCCGTTGGACAGCACTCTCCCCACTCCCAGTTTTAGGAGCCTGGCTCCTTTTCTGACTTTCTAGATTTCTTTCCCACATCTCTCCCTCTTTCACCTGTTCCTCTCAGCTTCCTCTCTTTGAATCTCTCCCCGTTTTTCTCTTTGTCCAGCTTATTACACCTCAGGGCTTCCTATCTACCTTGTAGTATCTCTGGATCCTATTAAAATGGTCAGAATTCAGTAAATTCTGGAACCTCTTGATAGACTGTCATGTAATTTTGTCCACCGTCTCCTTAAAGTGAAATTTCTACATTTTTGTATTTTATTATTTTCAGCAAAAATAAAATCACTGTTCTACCATCTGAAAATTCAGTGTCATGCTTACGCATGTTAAGTGGGCTCAGACTGCAGCAAATTGAGAGAAACTCAACGAAGAAACTCTTAGCAGCACAGGGTTTAAACACTACATTGGATACTACCATAGTTGGATTAAACTTTTGTTACACAACTATTATGAGAGAAAAAAAAGTTTTTTCACTTAACAAACTTAGGCTTTCAATGTACTCGTTGGAGAAACTTGGTTTTTTTTAGCCCTGGAATTGTTTGTCATTTGAATCTACTGATGAGTCCTCTTCAAAAGGAATGAAATAATTATCAGTTTGATATATTAATTTTATTTTTCTCATGTATCGTAGCTGTTATATTCTTTAAAAAACAGAAATACACCTACTGATTGAACTGAAATAAACAATACTGTCATATTTGATTTCCAGATAAACTTTGCAAGATTTTGTGCCCATGAAAATTGTTCTGCTGATTTACAGGTCTCTGCAAAAATTGGATTTTTGAAGTAAGTGTAGTTTAATCTCTGTTCTTAATCAAGATGGGTAACTGGTGTGTGCACGTGGGTTCTAAAGAGAAAGGGACTAATAACTAGTCCTTTGGAGTTAGCATTTGCAGACCTGGCAAAGAACAGCATTCTGCTGAAAGAGATTGAGTAATCTATACATCATTCACATAATTACACACCCAAAGATGATCATTTTTTGAAAGAATGAGAGTATGTGAGCACCATAGTTTTTTCAAGCATATTTTGATCTTTTATTGTTAACTCGGAAGATATTTCAGGATTTAACTATGCTTTGGGTTATTGTTATTGTAATTGTAGTTACAGTTTAGACATTTGTTAAGTGCCTGTTTAATAGAGTTTTGGTGGCAAAATGAGCTAACCTTTACCATATAATTCTTAGTATTTTATTGTCCAAAAACTGGTTACATAATTCAGACTGATGGACAAAACAAAGAAATCCCTAAATAAAAATATGACACATTTGAAAAGGAATAAACCATCTTGTTCTTATAAATCCATAGACAGGAAACAGGAGAAAGAAAATACATGTAACGTGCTTAGAACAGTTCACACAGTGAAAACCAGATAAATGTTGGTGGCTGTTGTTACTTTATGATGAGAAATAAACCACTGTAGTTTTGTATCATGTCTAGATCCCCTGATTAGAAATTGTTCGGCATGTCAGAGGGAAGATGTGCAAATGAGGACCGGAGAGAGAGAACCCACACTTCAGGCTAAGAGCTGGTTGTATGTGGAAGGTGAAGGAGGCAGAGGAGGAGGCACCAGTGGCAGGGCAGGAAAATGGGAGACTGTTCTGGGGAGGTCAGGATATAAAGGAGCAGGTTTGAATTGTAGTGTGTTGAATTTGGTGAGATTTCTGTATGTAGCTCTCCACTGGAAAATCTACTTCAAGATTCTTTCTATTTGGGGGTCCTCTTGACATCAGTGACTTAGAAGAATGCCTGGGGGTGGAAACGTGAATTTGACAGAGAAAAGAACTAAGGATCAAATCTGGTAGGAAGGGGTTAAATTTTATTTAAAGAGCTTAAAAAGAGTAGGGTGTCACCCTTGGAGACTGAAAATGTATCTTCAAAGAACTCAGAGGAGAACCAAGTCCATGGTGAAGTAGCCAATGGAGACTATAAAAAGCGGGACTTGTATTGTAATTTTATAGAGATCAGACAGCATAGTGACTAAGGAAAGGCCATGGAAGTTGGCGTTTAAAATGTGACTGGTGGGGGGAAATAGGATGTCACTGGCAAATTTTAACAGAGATTTCAGTGCGGTCATAGCTAAATGACACAGTTCATGATTACGGGAAGGGGGATATACCAGGAACAAGTAGGTTCAAGTGAATTTGTATGTATTTATCAAGTATTATTTATTTAATCGTGGGAAAATATAAACAAGTGTGAGGATCAAAGGCCTGGGAAAGAATAAATTGAAGAGAGAAGTCTGCTTAAATGTAGAGGACACTCTTCAGACCTTACTCGGACTCTTGTCTTAAGCATTTGGTGGCTGTTCACTTCCTTTTTTGAGCATCCTTTGCTTTAACTTCCATGATGCCACCTACTCCCATTCTCCCTTTATTTCTGTGGCCCCTCCGTTGCAGTTGTGTTGGGAAGGTCACTGATTTGGGCTCAGAAAATATTACTGAAAATGCTTGTTTCCTGAAGAACGAAAGTACATCTTACTGAATTAAGATACAAAATCATTAGCTTAATTGACTTACTAGTTTTTCTTCACGACGTATTTCTCACAATAAGAGATTGTATGATCTACTTTGCATTTTTAATTTGAAGATAATGTTTCTGATAGTCTGAATCTCAAGTTCTTTATGATTTTAAGTGGCAGCCAGTGGAAGGGCAGGCAGTATGTGTCCAAGTGTGGTCCTTGAGTCCCCTTCACAGGAATCACCTGGAAAGCTTGATAGAAAGGCAGGTTCCTAGGCCTCTGACCATCCAAATCAGAATCTATAAGGACCAGGCCCAAAACATGTGTTACTAATAGGGCTATAAGTGGCCGTTCTCAAACTAAAATCTGGCAACCAATGTTGTGATTTTGATTTGAAGTCAAACAAACTGGTTCAAGTTTATCTACCATTTACTACCTGAATGACCTTTTTGGAGAAGCCTTTCAACCTCTGTAAACTTCCTTCTTCATTGATAAGAAGGTAAAATAGCACCTCCTGTGTAAGTTTGTCTTAAAAATCAGGTGCAGTGGTGCAGGCCAGGTGCGCGGCACCAAGTCGGGGACGCGTGAAGATTCGATAACAATTGTTCTCTTTGGTAACGTGGTTGACGTATTTATAGGCCGTGATAAAAAAATGTTTTATTTTGGTCATAAAATGAAATACTGCCAATGAGTTCTAAACATTCTCTGCACATGTCTTGGTTATTTATCCAGAGCTTACCGTTTCTTGTATCCCGAGACAGTCGGTAGTCTTCGGTTGTGTGAGGTCTGAAGCGGCCTGAATGCCAGGGTGAAGTGTAAGCCCGCATCTTTTGCATCAGTTAGGAAAGCGACAGGCTGCTTCTGTTAGGTAAATAACTAACCTGAAGAAGTTTCAAATGAAAACTCTTCTAATTAATTTTTAGGCTTGCGGTGAAGGATTCTGACAAACTGCTTGGCCTTTTAATAAATTATACTCAATATCAGACAGAAATGCACCTTTCCCACCTAGGCGTCCTCTCCCCCTAATCAGTCAGGGTAGGCGCATTATGACCGCGTGTCCCATGCCTTCTCCCAGCTCGAACTCCATTGGCACTAACAGTATTTCTGTGCCTCAGAGCTATGGACCTGCTTTAGGGAAGTGTATATACTCAGTACAGAATATGAGTTTCTGATGACGGCAAACAGGACTGCCGGCAGCAAGCTAAACTGTGCTGATGCGCTCGGCCTCGTGTCCTCACTAAGTCGAGGCTGCCTCCTGAGTCTGTAAATCCTCAGGGCAGTAAACCACGTTCAGATGGGCTTACACTGCAAGACGAAGATTAACGAATAGGACTTTTATCAAAATCATAGATAGAATAGCAGGCATTAGCCATCACATGGGCACCTTAAAATCGACTCTCTCATACAGATGACTGATCTCAGTGACACTCCTCCCCTCCGTGCCTCCGTCATGCTTCCGGGGTGTAAGTGATGGAGGCTTTTCCTGAACAAAAGTGCTCTCGTATCAGCTAGGAATGCTTTTAACTACAAGTACCAGAGTACCTGATGGTAACTTAAAAAATAAAGGCATTTAGTTACTTTGCATAGTAAGCAGTCTGGAGGAGATAGCTGCAGGTTTACTGAGAAGCTACCAAAATCTGGACATTGATGGTTCATGGTTATCTTTCCCGTTCTCTTGGCTTTTCCCTCATGGCCATCACATGGCTGTTGTGGCACCAAGGATCCCAATAAACAGAAAGGGGCAAGGCAAAATTCCGTGTCCTCTTGAGGCTCTTTCCAGGAAAGGAAGTGCCTGAGCAGCCTTCTTATTCTGATTAACTAGACCGGTGTTGTGTGTTCCCCTCTGGAATCGATCCTGGCTGAAGGAGGGTGGAGTCATCCTGATTATAGTAGGTCAATCATAATTCATTCCCTGAAGCTGAACTAGGGGCTTTGCTTCAGCAGTATCAAGGTAGTACCACCTATAGCCTGAACAGTGCAGGGTTCTGCGGACAGCTAAGAAGGGAAATCATTGTTGAGTAGGCGGCGAGCAGTGTGTAACATCTACCACTGTGCTGTTACCCCCAAAAGAGTGAGTCTAAAAAAACTATTTTTAAAATGCAAATAGTAAGAATATATGCCCCACTGATGTCAATAGACTTTTGGGAAGATGAATTCGATGCTTTATACACTGAACAGTCTAATGACTAGTTTAATCTTCTAATCCATGTTCTTTTGCTGTCCTCCTTAGGGTCTCAATGAGTTTGTCTTTATTCAGTAAAATCTCCTTAAATGTCAGGTGGCTGATATATTCCTGTTGATGAGAATTTTCCAATATTTTTTTTCCTGAGGTCAATAGTAAAGAAAAAAGAGGACAGAATTTTGCTCAGGCCTGTAGGCCACTTGCTGCAGGCTAGCTTTTGGTCAGGTAAATGACTCGTGTATCTTGACATGGGTACATATCAGTTTCTGTTATATTTTATTCTAGCATCTTGATTAAAAACATGTTCTGTATGAAGCAGTCATTCATCTTGTCGAGGCAAAGAGCATTCATTATACTAAGGCTTGGGGAGCACTTCTCACGAAAACAAAACAATGTCATACAGTCAGGAAAAACGTAGAGCCTGGTGCTGAAATGCATCAATTTTTCTATTTTTCCTCTTTCACTTATTAAGTTATGATTCTGTATGTACACAGTACCTCGATTTGTCTAAATTACTTGGATTCTAGGCTGCTTTGTAAATTTCAAGCCTGCATTATGCATGTTTTAATGAAGAATGAGCTGCGATTCCTGGGGAAAGCTCTGGTTCAGCCTTGTCGCACTTCCAGATGTGCACCTGGTCCTTTATTATGTCTCACATGCAAAGCTGGTGGGTATCTGTCTGATGGCACCTCATTAATGAATCCACATACAGTAAGATGTGTGTGTGTGTATATATATATGTGTATATATATATATTCAAAGAGAAGAATAGAATTGTAATTATGGTAATATGGCAAAATAGCTTAAAAATGGAAAATAGACCAGGAGCCTCGCTGCTGAAATGTGAACATTGTGCTTCTCTTTAATTTGCTGTTGTCTTGGAACCTAGCTGTTTATGCAGTGCTTTCACCTTCTGTTGCTTGTCTAAGTGCCAACTTCTTTCCCAAAGGTGTTCAGTGACTAATGCTTTGGTTACAAGCCAGAATATTTTATAAATGTCTATTTCTAGGCAGCTCTTCTACAAGTCTTAATTAAACTTTAATGTCAAACTGAAGTTTACTCTCGGAACCACTCTGGTTCCTTTAGTTGTAACGTGATTATAGAAAAGTAGGGGGAGTGTAGGGCCGTTGTGTTCCAGCACGCTTCCCCTCTGCCGTTTAACACGGTGCCACCAAGCAGATGCGCCCTTACGTAACACAAAGGTTTACAATGCAAGAATGAGTAAATCACAGCCATTCCCTGAAATGTTGGGAGAGATAGCACACCATCACTGAGTCAGAGTCTTCCAGCCTGAAATGACAGCCATGGTTTAGAACAGTTACTGCCTTGTTAACGATCCTCCATCTTCCAGAAATATCCACCTTCTCAAACGCAGGGATCAGAAGCTAGAAATGCTACACAGGGATATGGTCTTCATTCCTTTCTCCTCAATGTCTTGAGTACTCCTCTCATCCTATGCCGTCTGAATAATGAAGCTTCTGTTACTGTCAGAATAATACAGATTTTACCCACAGTAATATTATGTTGCGTGCTTATTTTGAAACTAATTAGATTCCTCAGTCAGATTGCTCAGAGGCAGAGCCAACAAACTTTTTACATGAAGGGACAGATAGTAAATATTTTAGGCTTTGTGGGACAGAAATCTGTCTCAACTGCTCAACTCTGCTGTCACAGTGCAGAAGTGGCCACAGACGAATGAGCATGGCTGTGTTCCAATAAACCTTTATTTACAGGAGCAGGCAGTGGTCCAAATTTGGCCTTCAGGCAGAAGTTTTTGAACCCCTACTCTATGGTATGCTTACTTTTTAAATGACAATCCTGTAGGACTTTTTTTAGTTTGCATTATTTAAATAGAGTTCCTTACAGTACACTTTATTTTTTAAATATAATTTGTTAGTAAGATTTTTAGCTGGTTGCCAGATTTAGAGATTTTTCAGGAATTAATCCTGGGATAACAAACCATAAGTTCTGCTCATAGAAGGATAGACAGACTGACACAACAGAATTACATATATATATGTTTACTGAAACACTAAAAAGCTCCCACTGGAATTGCTAAAATTCCCAATGGTAGTTGAAAGGATAAGTAGAATGTGGTATATTTGCAAAATTGAATATATACACCAGTGAGAATGAATAATTTACAACTCCATGCAGCAATATAGATTAATCTTACGAAATTTTGAGTAAAGAATGTCAGATACTCAAAGACTGCATATTCAGTGATTCCATTTGTATGAAGTATAAAACTGGGCAAAGCCAGTCTATACCAGTAAATGTAAGATATCAGGTGGGGGCAATAACTGGAAGGGGGCACAGGGTATTTCTTTGGTGCTGGCAATACATTTTACGTTTTTCTTGATCTCGGTGCTGGTTTAATGCATGTATTCAGTTTATAAAAATTCGCTGCATTTTTCTAAATGGACATTCTAGGTTGATAAGTAAGTTTCAAGTGGAAAAAAATTAGGATAAGAATGAAAGAACTTTTAGGCATTAAGTGAAATGTCCAGTTTCTTAGATCTATGTTATTAGAGGTATAAAAGTGGGGTGAAGTGTCCAAAATTATCATTTTGTGTGCTCATAGTAATTTTTATAATTAAATTACAATTTAAGTTATAATTAAAATTATAATTAATAATTTGAGGTTCATAATTGTTACTCTTTTCATTAACAATGTTGCTGTTAATTTATTGGTCAGCTCAATAGTTGGATGGCCACCAAAACATCAGGTTGTGGGTGGAGTGCAGGTCACAGGACGGGTAGTAGTGGATGTTTAATTTATCTTAATGAAACGTTTGGAACTGGTATACCATCACAGAACAGATAAGCATGGCTGTAATTTCATAGCATCATAATGAGTTCATAAACCTTTAAAAGTTACTTATCCAGTAATTTCCTCAGTTTTTCAACTTTTTTTTTGTTAGTGTTACCCAACCCTTTTCAATGTTTGATACACTCACATACCACACATATATTTTGAACACTAATTAGGTTGCTAGCCTCTGGGAAGACAATGATAATTGTGACCACTAGGCATTTTCTCTCCAGGAGAACTTATTCTAGTGGTGAAAAAAAACAGACAGTGTGAACATATTGCATTGCAGGGGTGCCCAGCGTGCAGGGCAGTGGGAGAGAGAGAAGCCACTTTTGTTAGGGGTGCACAATGCTGGGTGAAGGGGGTTAGCAGTGAGAGTCAGCTGGGAGAACTTCTAAGAAGTCTTGACACTGGCACATAAGCTGGGTCTTGAAAAACAAGTACAAGTTAACCACATGCATGAATAGGAAAGATGTGGAAGGCAGAGGGATAGCTTAAAGTAAGGCACAAAACACAGTGTTTGGACCCCTGTCTTTAGGTAAGCATGGCTAAGGCAAAGGAATGAGTTGGAATGAATGCAGTGGAAAGTGAGGCAGGAACTGTCTCTCAGGCTGCATCTGCCATGCTAATCAGAACTCTATCTTGAAGCTACTAGAGGACATTAAGCAGGCATATGACATTATCAAGTTTACTTTTGGGAAAGTGACACCTCCCACCCTCTTCCCCCCATGGCTGGCAGCGTGAAAATTGGAGGAGGACTGAGAAATCATTTAAGACTATAATCCAAGTTAACTCAGGTTCAATCATGAAATTTTCAGATCTTCTTTATTTAAAAAATTGTTGTTAATCTTCATTCATTTCAACCTAAATAACCGGAATAGTAGAAAAGCAAGAAAATGCCTTTGCTAACCCTGGGTGAAAGGAGTTCCCTGCCCTGGTCTCCCAGAGCCTTTCGTTCATAACTCTTTGCGTGTATTTCTAATATTTGCAGTTGTTCATCAGTCTGTCCTTTATATGCTCAACAAAGATGGGAATTTTTTAAGCTATTTTTGTATGAGGGAGTAGTAGACATAATGATTTCTTACACAGGAGCTTTCAGTTAAAATCAGCCATTCTTAATCTTTCAGTAATGCTTAAAAGCATAAATTTTGAAACTTGTTCTTTAACTCTATCCTTGAGCACTATCTTAAATCAATTCACAAATAACTATTAAACGCCTACTATGTGCTTTACATTTACACACAGTTTCTTAAACACAGTTCTTTGATACAGATGTTGATTAGAATGATACAATATAAACATTGAAGAAACTTTCTAAACTCTAAATTGCCAGGTGAATGTTTACCTTTCTTATTATTACGATTATCCTCATCAGATATTTTGCTTCGGGTCACATTCTTCTCTGGTTGAACCAATTTTTCTAAATGTTACATTCTTTAACATCTAAGTCTGTCTTTGAGAACTCATAGAATCATAATATTCAGTAACTGAAGTTTTCTTTGAGCTCTCTTAACCCTCTAAGTGGCCAAGGGAATTGTTTGTACAGGCATTTGCCCTGAGACTCTAGAAATTGTACCTTGAATACATCCCTTAAATCCCAGGGTGCTCAGGATTTCGTAGAATGTGCATGAGCCAAATATTCACTGAATAGTAGGTATTATTACAGATGGGTTGACTTTAAAATGCTAAACGACCTCTCATCCAGAAGAACTGGGGCCAGAGCTGGAACTTGAAGTCACTTACATGTTTGCATCTGCAGCAGTTCTCTTCCCAGTTCACAGGATGTTGAAGCCTTTCTGCAGTTCGGTTTTTAAAGTGGTCTAGTTATCAGCAGAGGTGACCAACCTGCCTTAAGAAACTAATTCTAGTCCAACAGATTTTAGCAGCACCCACTTGCTGGCCACAGCAGTCCTTTTCCATGCCGTGCTCACTTCCGCCCCAGCATTCTCTGTTTTGGTGGAAATTGTCTCTCTATTCTCCTTTCCTCCCCGTTTCCCCCAGATCCCTTTTTGGCTTGGGCAGCAGCTAGTTCAATATCTATGCAAGGATAAAGAAAAAAAAGAGAAAAAGTCTTCTTTTAGTAAAATACTTTGATATAATCAGGCAAATATGTTAAAATGATAGAAGCAAGAAGTTAAACAGAAAAGTCAAACAGAAAGCAGACTAGTTTAATTATAAGAGTTAGGCAGTTAGGTAAGTGGGGGCACCAGGCAGACAGGTGGAGGAGAGGGAGGATGGTCTGGAAGATTGTGTTACGCCCGCCTCCAGCATAAAGGAACTTTACTTCTTCTAAGTGAGTGCCAGCAAGAAACCAGTTAAAACTCAACAGCCATGACGGCACAGTAGTGGAAAGGGCTTAACCAGACATGACCCAATGTGCATTGAGTTATAATTAGCATTGTGGTTTCGGCCCCCGCCCAAGAGTTTTTCGGTGTACACCACGGGTCAGAACATGTGCAGAAGGGGCCAAACATACTGAGCATTCCAGGGGCAAGAGCCATTAACCAATCAAGAGACCACCTCTAAGCAAGAGTATAGGAGAAAGGGGAGACTGAAACCTCCGCTTTTCCTCCCTTGGGTCAGCCCGCCTCCCGCTCAGGGGGGTGTACCTATCTTTTCCTAAATAAATCCTTTGAAATCTTTTGCTACAACAGTGCACTCCATCTCCCGTCTGTAATCTTGTCTTTCAGGTAAAAGAAGGACTGGGGTCTTTTCTTTATCTTTAGGTAACATAACTAAAAAAAAACCCCACAAACTTCTCTTGGCTAAGTGAATTTATCTGAAAAAATGGGAAATTGAGTTCTTTTTAACAAGGATTTACATCTACTTTCATGGGGTCATCTCCCATGGTTGTGTTTCCAAATTAATTTTTTGTTTGGGGTAAGTAAATGAAGAGATGGGATTTTTAGTTCCCAAACAAAAACTAAATAATATTACTTAATTTTTAGGCCGCATGAAAACAAAACCTATCTCGCTGTTGGAAGCATGAAGACGTTAATGCTGAACGTGTCCTTGTTTAATGCTGGAGATGACGCATATGAGACAACTCTGCATATCCGACTGCCCACCGGTCTCTACTTCATTAAGATTTTAGATCTGGTAGGCATAGAAAACTCTGCAATTTATTTATATGCCTATTTGTTTATCCCAGAAGTGAACAGAAAAGAGTTTAATTAAATAAATTCTTTGGGGATGATTTTCTTTTCACAAACCAGCCTTTAAACATGTGACCAGTTTCTTGTTCCCTCCAACTAAACCAGTTGTTCCATTTTTCCTTTAGGAAGAGAAACAAATAAACTGTGAAGTAACAGACAGCTCTGGCATAGTAAAACTTGACTGCAGGGTGGGTTATATATATGTAGATCATCTATCAAAGGTAAGCATTTCACATTTTTGTTACTAACATGAATATATAATACTTCCTGTTTTTCCTCTGTGCTGCATACAAATAAGTGGTTACATTATTATTGTTGTTGTTGTTGTTGTTGTTGTTATTTACTTAGGGTAAGTAGCTAAGTGATGAAATAAAACCAAAACTGCCTGGGCTTGAGATCTTTGGGATTGTGTTTACATTCTTGGCAGTGTTCACTATTTAAAAAAAAAAAACGGCACATGTTTATGTCAAGCGGGCACATGAATGTGTCAGAATTCTGCTCCCCGGTGTCACCCTTCCCCCTCCCCCGGCCCCGAGCTTCACCCCAGGTGGTCCTGTCTGCTGGGCACGTTACCTCTGCTGTACAAAAAGGTGTCTCTGGCAAGAGGCCTCACTCAAGTTGTTAAAGCATCTCCATTTTGTCAGTCCAGATTTGCCTGTCTTCACATTCAGAGGAGGCTTTGTCTCTGAATATCACTTGTGGAAATGCTGGTGCTTTAAAATTGCCACAAACCCACCAGCTTCCCCATAGCTACCTGAGTGAGGCATAGCCTACTCGTTTAGAACATCATTTCAAATTTGCACTTCACAGAACATAAAGAAAAATTAAAATTATAAAAAAACTTATACTTTATATATGTGTCTTTGCATGCTTTAGATTATTTTTAAAATGGGTGCTTCTGTCTGTGTTTTTCAGATAGATTTCAGCTTTCTCCTGGATGCCAGCTCACTCAGCAGAGCAGAAGAGGATCTCAACATCACAGTGCACGCCGCCTGGTATATTGCATTATGAAAAAACAACTGTGCTAAAGGAAATGAACCCCTGACTTTTTTGGTGGCCCGGGGGGGTGACCTTAGGGAAACCATGGAGCAGTGTTCCATTGTCTGCAGGAGAAAACTTCTCTTATGTGATCTGTTAAAACAAACCAAAACACCCTCTAGCCAACATAGAAGCAATTATCTGTGTAAACTAATGAGAGTCAATTTCTGCCAACTCTGACATAAAAATTTCTTGCTATAGCTTCTACTTTTATCCCCGTTCCTTAAAAAGGGTTCTTTACACCAGCCCCCAAGTATATACGGTATATACATGGGGTGTAATTAGCTCTTTGAAGATGATTTTTTGCTGGCTTGGATTCTAAGGCAGTGTTTCGTGTTTGCTTCTGTAGCGAAAATGAAGGGGAGGTAGGCAACCTGAGGCGTAACGAAGCGACTTTGACAATCCCTCTCAAGTATGAAGTCCTGCTGACTGTTCACGGGTAAGTAGATATGGAGGCCTCCTGTAAAACTGAGCTGATTCTAAATTCCATTAATTCTTAAATTATTGGTCAAAACCATATTTAAATATTTTTAGGGAGACTGTACTTTCTGTCTCTTGATAATTACCCCAGTGTTGTAGTCCAGTGCTTAGCTGCTCATTATTTTAACCCACTCTTTAGTCACCACTGAGATCTCCTCAAACGAATGCCCCGAAGGTGATTCCTTCCTGGAATAACCTCTAGCGGGTGACCCAGCCTGTCAGTGGCAGCTGTGTAGACCAGGGCCCCAGAGTGACGGGGAGCAGTTTGGTAGTCATGTTCAGTGGCCACGGCAAGCGTGAAGTTCAGAGAGGTGTCAGCTTGGCCAAATCACCATTCTCCAGAACCCGCGCCTACTTGGGCGACAAATGAATTGAGACACTAGAAAGCAGGCTACAAGGTGTCCCTTGTCCACTCTTTATACCCAAGAATTAGAGTTCCTTACCCTCGGCCCCAGAGCCAGCATTCACTGATTCCTGCCAATTTTAGTAATTGTTTGAGGGGACTCTCCTCTGATCCAGGAAGTAGATGTGACAGAAAAAAATTAAAGGAGTATTAAGAGCACCTTTTGTGATTCTACTGGAAATTATTGAGCCCATTCATCTTTGTTGAAAAGCACATTTTCAAAGCAACAGAAGGTAGGAGATGGAGAACCAGTAGACAGATGAGCTTTTCTTGTTGCTCTAAATATAAATCATCCCCAATCATTTTTAACCACCCATAAAGATGGCATATAGTTATATAAAAATAAGTGTCTGAAACTGGTGGAACTGAGTCTCACAAGTTTGTGAGATAAAACAAGCAGGAGAAAAGGGAGCCATTCCAGAGAGAGTATTGGAGAGCAAAGAAAAGCCAGTTGGGGGATTTTGTTCACCAGCTTGGCCCTTGCAATAAAGCTTTCTCTGCTCCAAACTTGGGCGAGGGGTGGGGAGCCGATTGCATGTTTCCCGGTTTGGAATACTTACCTCATCTTGCCTCCTTGATTTGGTTGTGATGAGTGTGTCATCCTATTTTTCCATTGTCCATATCTTGTTATTGTGGGCAAGGAATGCTCTACCACTATTAAGCTGCCTAAACCTACAACATTTGAATATTTCTGATTTCCTTCCTGTAATACCTCATCAAATAAGACAGTTAAATTGAATCTGAATTTGTTTCTGTCAGGTTTGTAAACCCACCTTCGTTTGTGTATGGACCAAAGGAGGAAGACGAGCCTGAAATGTGTGTGGCAGAAAAAATGAACTTCACTTTCCACGTAAGAAAAGTTGATCGTGTTGACTTTTGTAACAAACTGAAAGAATGTTACTGATGCTTTGCTCCAGAGGACATCATGTAGGTGTGATGTCCCCTGGCTTCGCAGGACCACATCTGGCCAATAGTAGGGAGGGAGCTGTGGCAAGGTACTCACACCCTTGCCTCTCGAGCCCCTGCTCCTTCTTTCCTATCTGTCTTGTCCCTGTAACTGCAGCCCGTTCTTCTTGTACAGGTGGGAGCGAGCAAGTGGGAGCAGCGGTAATGCCTGAAACAGGCAAAATTAGGGGAGGAAGTGAATCCGCAAGAGATGCATACAGAAATCAGGACAGGTGAAGCAAAGGCATCTTGGGGTGCAAACCGGTGAAATCTCTTCTGGGTTTGAGCTTTACACAAGCCCTAACCTTACCAAGTAAAGGAAGCTTCCATCTGCCTCTCCAATTAAGGTCTGCTTGGTCAGCCTTTCAGGTGATATGTGATGCATCATTTATTAAATAATCTGCTTAAAAGGAGTGCTATCATCATCCAGAAGCATTCATATACTAATATAAAGCTTAAATATTATTAAATAATTTTTTTTACTTTCAAACTGAGATTTTTGGGTGCATTGTGGATGCTGATGTTGAGTAAGTAACTGGAAATAATGTTCACAAAAATACCTTTGAACCAAAAGCACTACTCACACCTTCTTAGAGCTACAGAACAGTCTATAGAATGTGAGTGAGTCTGGATTAGGTACATTATATTTTGTAAAGCAGTGCTTTCCCAAATATATGTCAGAATCCCTTGAGATGTTTCATCCAAAGTGCAAATTCTTGGGTACTGCCCCAGATCCGGGGAAGAATGACCTTGGAATTCTATCGAGTGTATACTCAAGTGGTGGTTATGCTAGTATAAACTGGTGTTGGAAAAATGTAGCTGTCTGCTTTAAAGACCAAGAAATGCTCCTGTCTCAGTTCATGGGGGGTTTATGTTCTGTGAAACAGAGATTATGTTGGATGCTCAAAGGACTATTTATTAATTTACAATTAATAGTTGACAAATATTTTCTGGTTAAATTACAATGGAATGACTGGGCCTGGAGATACTTTTCAGTCTGCAGGCTTGGTGAGTTGTCCGTGTATAAAGATGGAGGTTGAATGTTACCAGGCAAACGTGGAAGAAGAAAACTGTAGGTGAGATTGGTTATTTGCTGGCATCGGGAAGGCCTTGTCCAAAGGTCTGGACAGTCCCTGGTGCTGACACTGCCTTTTGCAACTGCCCTGTGTTTCCAAGGTCTGGCAATTACCATGTGTCCCAAAGCCAGGGACACATTCTCCTCACCTACATCATATGCATTTGAAAGATGCTTGTAATCTATCAGTCACACTATTTCAGTTAGATTATTTATAGCATATCTATTCTCCAACTTACTGTATTGGTTCTATAGTTAAGCTCTCAGGCGGCAATATTTTGGCCCAACTTCCTCTTTCAGGGTTCTGCAATCCCCCAGTTTATCACCAACAATGAAATGTCATCCTCTTATACATTATTTTTAAAAACCTGTTTTATTTTTTCTGAAACCCAGTAATTTACCCTTTTCTGATTTTCTGAGTGCATCAGCATTATAATTATCCTGAATTAAAAAATATTTTTATTCACTTACTGCTGCTGCTGATTCTCTCAGCACACAGCAATTTTGTGAAACCAATATAGAATTTAGAATTAGAACACCCAGGTCTTGGTCCTATTTCTTATCAATTTTGAACTTTCAGTTTGGGTACCACATTAACACCACTTAGCATTTTTCTTGAGCTGGCGAATAATAAAGTCAGCCTACCTCATGGGATAGTTATGAGGACAACTAATCATGGTTTTTTAGATACATAATGTGCTGTAGCAATGGTCAAGTGGCCCTTGAAGGACACAGGTTTGAACTGAGAGAGTCCACTTATATGTGGATTATTTTAATAGTAAATACTACAGTGCTCCACAAATCATGGTTGGTTGAATCTGTAAATACAGAGCAATCGTGTATACAGAGAGCCGACTAAGTTATGCTCAGATTTTCAACTGTACAGAGGGTCAGTGACCCCTAA